CTGTCGAAGAGTGTGGGTATGGATCAAGGTTCTCATTAAAGAGGAAGGAGTATCGGAGGAGCATCTTCCTCTGCCCTCCTCCTCAGGCCCGTAGCCAGGAGGGTGCCCAGGGTGCTCGGGCATCCTCTTGGCCAAAAAATACCTGGAGGGGGGGGGGGTACAGGCGAAAAACGTTTTTGTAAAGCGAAAAATTATTTTCCCGCTGGTGGGCACCCCCTTAACAAGTCCGGCACCTCCCTTGGGAAATTTCTAGCTACGGGCCTGCTCCTCCTCCCTCTAAAATGTTCCGCTTTGTATGGAAATTCTTAATATTTTCTGCCAATTTTTTACAGTTTCATGGTGACTTTGAGCAGAAACTGGATTGTAGAAGACCAATCGCTCTTCTCTAGTCGAAAATGAAATAAAAATAAGCAGACAATGTCGTTGCGAGGGAAATAGGTGAGTGTGGGGTGTGGGTGTAGGTCTGAGTGTGGGTGTAGGTCTGAGTGTGGGTGTGGATGTGGGTGGGTGTGTGGATATGGGTGTGGGTGGGTGTGGGGTATGGGTGAGTGTGGGGTGTGGATGTGGTGTCATTCCCCTCTTTACCCACACACAACCACATCCACACCCACCCACACCCACTCACACCCACACCCACACCCACACCCACACCCCACACCCACACCCACACCCTTTGTTTTTCTGTTCTGAGTTATATTGACGAGTGGAAGTTTGTCCATGTTTTTATAAAGCCTTGCACAATCTTGTAACAATTAAAATCAATGTCAAAATTCAATGCTCTAGAATTTTTTTCAAATGATATTTAATATAAGCTAGATGCGGATCCAATGTTATGGAGCATTTAATAGAATATTATCATTCACATCCTTAATTGAAAACGATTGACTTCTATTGAAATATTTTAGAAAGTTTATTTCAAAAGATCAGAAATCAAATATCTGAAATACACCATTGAACCAATCTTTCAATTAATTTTAATAGCCAATGAATATTTTCATTATTTTTATTTGATCCAAATAAATAAATCCACCAACGATATATTTTCATAACACTATGAGCTAAATAATGATTATTAACTGATGCATAATTCGATACAAAAACATTATCAATTTTAATTGTATCCGATGGTGTTAATGGTGCATAATAATCTTCTTCTATTGTTAAATCAATATTTCGAATTTTACCTAATATAATTTCATTTTTATATACATATTTTATATGATCACCTGATTGCAATTGACTAGCAAATAGAGAATTTTTTAATTCTGTATCATTTGCTAAGAATATTAAATGATTAGATGATATAAATAAAGATGTTGTAATATTTCTATGATCATCAATTTCTATATTTATTAATAAAAAACTAAATGAACCATTTCGTTTTAAATGAATAAAACCTTCAATAGATTCATAAATTAATTTATTTTCTTTATTAATAACCAGAACACATTCGCCAATTTCTATATTTGATAAAAGTTTCATTAAACCATTTTCAGTTATAACAGTACTTCGACCAGGAAAGCATGTTTGTTCACGTCTTTTAGTTATACAAGTATATTGAAGACAAACATCACTATTCGATAATATTGAAGTACAATCACATATTGAATCGTATGGTAAATTTTGACTTTTAATACAAGTAAATAATAATAGTAATAAACACAAAAAAAGAAGTAGACAAAACAGACATTTTTATGTGGAATGAATGTATGTAATCGATTGTTGAAATAATTGTGAACAAGAATACTAAAGACAAAAAAACCGTTGATGAAGAAGAGTATTGTTTAATTCTATTGAATGGTGTGCCAATAATAAGGGCATGACTTTTCTTCATTTCTATTGGTCTAATGATGTCAAGTCCGTCAGTCAATATGCGACAAGACAGAGAGTATCATGAGTGTCTATACTAATGACGTATAAGACATTTTCGTATAGCCCTCGACACATTAGAAGATCCCTCGATCTTCTATTAGGTTCCTTTAAAAAGCCAAATTTTTTGGTAACAACAACGAAAAGTCCTAATTTTAACATGTTTTCGTCCAATATACCGTTAGTAAACGGATTTATTTTACTTATCATGTGCTCATCGATGGAAAAGAAGCGAATAATATTTGTAAAGCAAAAAAAAAAAAAAAGAACAATTGTTGGTTAGAGGGAATGTTCTTGAAATAGTATAGACAATATATCTCAAAAATTTTTGTGCGATTTATAAGAGGACTATTTTTTCTAAAGAATACAATCTATCACTGATGACATTTATGTTCTATATAACTACACTCTCGGACAGAAATCTTTTTCCCTCTTTACTTCTATTCTTTCAGAGTTTGCATTAAATTTATTGTCGAGTAAAGATATCATATATAATATTTATTTCAATATGGTATAAATCATACTGAACCAAAACTCGTATGTCATATCTTTATTTGATCATAAGTATAATAGCATAGAAACAAAGCAAAGAAAGACTTTAATTCGAGGGTATAAATAAAATTGTAGAAAGAAAATTAACCATGCTTATGTAAAAGACATTTCAGTTAGTTGTTTATGTTGAAGATTGGCTTGTATAAATAGAATTGAGTCAATATTAGAGGTAATTCTTTATTTTTTTTATCCTTTATAATAAAGAGAAAAGATAAATGCATCCTTTACTTTTCAAAAAAATAAAGATAAATGAGCTCTTTAGTTTTGAAAATAAAGATAGAATGGAAGGGCTTCAGTATCAGAGAATTCATGTTCAGAATGTTTTTCATTATAAAATAAATGTAACTGCAATAAATTCAACTTAGTTAGGACATGATTTAAATCAGTTTTTTTTCTCAGTTTAGCAGATTTCGATCAGAAACGTGAAGATTCAATCAAGACAAATATCCTATTTTGAATCAACATTAAAAATGGAACTGATTTTTATGAATAGTTCGAAAACTTTTGAGATCTTTTTTTTTCTCATCGAAAAAATTTTCCGTACTATTTTAGGGTGTGGGTATTTTTTTCATCCACATCCACACCCTCTTCAGAATGAATATCGTTCAAAAAATCCACTATATAAAAGAGTATTTATACCATAATTTATAGAATTTGAATCAAACAAAGATAATTTTTTTGAAAGTATTTACGTAAATGCTATGATCATTATATGTTAAAATATTTTGTTCGACGAAGATAGGTATAAACTCAATAATAGACGATTAAAATTATCTCAAAACATATGAAATCATTTCAAAAATCCGCTGTAATCAATGTTCTTATACAATGAATACAATTTTCCAATGTGAACACTCAATAAAGTCTTCATGTTCGTTCCTTAGTACGCAAATAACTTTTGTAAATATCATGAAGATTCTAGATAAACATTCGGTACTTTGATTGTATTTTACATTGAAAGCTCTTTTTACATATGTTTATACGAAATATAAAAAAAAAATATAGAATCGTGTCCATCGATTCAAATGTTGGAATGGAACTAATAAGCTGTTCGATACAAAAATGAGTGTTATGAGAAATATGAAAGTTAAGTATATTGGTGTTATTGGGAAAAAAAAAACTTCACAAAACAGTTCAAATCGATTGTTGATTGTTTGTCAAATAACCAATAGGAGACAACTACTTTTATGCTAAGGACATGAAAAAATTTTGAATTACTTTCTGTTACTGACTAAGAGAACAATGGACGTCCGATGTTTGTATAATGATGCTATGGAAAGATTATATATATATATATATACAGTGATACTTTTATTCAGAACATTTTCCTCCACGAAACGAACAACAATAGACAAACAGAATGGATCAATTACCATGCGAGTTATTATATCATATTTTCTGGTACGTTGATCAATGGTTAGATCTTTTTCAATTATCTTGTGTCTGTAGTCGTTGGCACTCTTTGATTATGAACAATGAATATTTTTTAAATCAATGGTATTCTCGATCAATAAAATACTCACGACAAGCACCTCATGATATTTACCATAAGTATATCAACGGATTTAAACTAAAGTTGATGTCAAACATGGATAAATCATTATTTCCTATCAATCTTCGATCAAGTGAATGTTGGCTTCTACCTTTAACTATTCCAAATACTTCATCTAATAATGAAAATTTTCTTACACATATTTACCCATTGTCATTCTTTAAGTCATCTCATTCTTTCTCCTTCTGGTTCTTCTTACCTTATGAATGTGAATTAGCTATAGAGATTACAAATATGAATGTTAACGGTCAAATGATCTTTCTTAATGGTAATAAAACCTATTGTTTCGACGATGAGAACTATGTATCAATCAATGATCGATGGATTCATATTGTTTTAACTAAGACTGATTCACAATCTAATTATCAAACATGGATTGATGGAAAATATGCTTCAAAATTTTATCAATATTATATACCCTTGATAAAGATAGAGCAAAGCTCTGATGTGTATAATAATGTAGTACTTCGTAAGAGTTACATTAATTCATTAAGATCACTTAGCAACATCCGCATAACCGATTTCAATGCTTTCAAACAATGTTTGACACATCTCGAAATTCAAGCTATTCATCAACAGCAAACATCAATCAAACAAGTCAAATTCGGTACCTATATCAACAGTAACAAAATATACAACATCAATGTTGACTAATCTTACAAATTCAACTTCTCTTTATATTATAAACTCATTTTCTTCTTGTTTCTTATGTAGATAGTTAAACTATACTACAGATTATATTCATTTGATGTCTATTTTGTATCCTATTTATCAAAATGTTTCATCTGTCATACTCTTCTTGTGCACTATGAAATTGAATTTAATGTTCGAAGATAAAAAATGTAGAGTAGAGTAGATATAAAACTCGTTGTCATTTTCTTCTTCATAATTTATACAACTTCTTTGATTTTCTTCTTTTTTACTAAATTGAATCCATGATATCAAACATTCAACCATATGTAACTTTAATTCATAGCACCAGTTAATTGACAAGCTCGTATAACATGAGCCCAATAATAAGAAATATATCAAAGTGCTTTAATGAAATAAAAGAGAATGATAGGTGTTTCATACATTCCATCTTTTTTTTTCCAGTAATTTATCCATTAGTTTGACGAGTCTATTTTATAAAAGGAATTATATTTCTTCATTTTGATTCTTCTTTATCTCGAGCTGTTTTTTTTTGTCAGTTTATCAAAATGTTCGTGCTTTGTTAAACGTCCAACAAAAAGCATATCACAAGCGTGTAGTCGACGAAACTTAAATTGTACAGAAGTTTTTAACATTTTCTTTAATATGTCAGCTCATTTTCTAGAAATTTATTCTATATTGATTGAATATCGAAACATGATACAATTTTGAAGACGGAAGAATTAAAGAAAAAAGATAAATGATTCAACTATCCTACTTTGTATTCTGTTCAAAACTAGAACTTATATATCACGACAGGACGGATTTCAGCAAACTTTAAATAATAGTGAATGGGTATAGGAGTAGATTTTCTATTGAAGAGTTGTAATAACAAAGAAAAGTAGAAATTAATGTAGCAGATTAGTTGAGAGTGTGGGTGTGCGTGGGTTTGGAGCAAATATACCCACACCCACCCCCACACCCTCATTCGATAACTAGAGTGTGTGTAGGTGTGGGTGTTGATCCTCTCCATCCACAGCCTAGTTCTCACTTATCGATGGTCAGTCAGTAGATTGAAAATGGCCGTATAAGACTGAGCATTCTTCGTTTATGATTATATAACCAATAAAATATTGATAAAAAACAACACTACATATTTCTCATTTGTTAATTTATTGTAAAATAACCCACTCATTTTCATGCCATTCAACATGAAAGATTACTGATCATAGACACGCAACGATTACGATGATTCATTGGTAAATACTTGTGTATTTTTTTTTTGTCAAAAAGTGAAATAAAAACAATCGTATTGCTATCAAATAATCAAGCTCAATGAATTCTTGTTACTAGCATGCTTGATCTCTTCCATTGGATAATAATAAACTTCATTTTGATGGTATAATACAATACAATGTGTCGTAAAAATCAAAATTACTAATTTACATCACTGTATTTATTTCAGTCGATAGTATTGCAAATGTCAGATTTTTTTCTCATTTTACTTTTAATGATCACATACATGATTTTCATTCAATATTATGGAGTGTTCTATGATTTTTTTTATTAGAGGAAAGAACAAAATTTATGAAGTTAGTTCATGGAGAAACTATCGGCATATGAGGAGATGTGAATAAAACTTAGAGTAAAATAGACTACATTGACAAAATCTTTTATTTTTTTTCTAGCTATAATTTGAAATGGAAGTAATATATGTCGTTGAATAAGATATGTTACATGTTCCATCATGTTTCTTTACTTCGGTTGTATAATACCAGCGACGATCGCACCTATGAAATTCAAAATGACTCCAACTATGCTATATCGAGCAGCTGCACCCAATGCTAAGTCAGCTCCACCCAATTTTAAGCCACCTGCATTTAGTGTTAAGCTAATTTCACTGGTGAAGTAATAAATACCCGTTGCCATGCCGATGAGACCGAGCAGAAATGATAAGCCAGACAAACCTTTACTAATCAAGAGAAATCTTGGTTCGAACTTATCCTTGATGACAACAAATATAAGACATCCGACTGCGAAAGGTGTAGTAATACAGGCTAGGATCATGAATGCTCGCGCAGCTCGTAATCTCCAATCGATGAAGATGTTTGAGAAAATATTGCTGTCAAAATTGCCACAGTTCTTATTTAAACATGCTCGCCACAGCCCACTTGAAAAATCCACGATAAGAA